GAGCATTGCCTGCTCTTCCAAAGGTCCTGAGTTCAATTTCCAGCAACCACATGGTGGCTCACAACCATCTGTAATGGGGTCTGGTGCCCTCTTCTGGCCTGCAGACATACACACAGACATAATATTGTATACATAATAAATAAATAAATATTTTATAAAAAAAAAAACACAACAGCAACAACAACAACAACGAGCTTGCAGCTGGGGCTATAGCTTCAAAGGTAGAGTGCTTGCCTGGCATTAGTGAAACCCTAGGTTCAATCCCAAACACCAGGGCTTTAGAGGTAGGATTTGCATCCACTGAAATAAGTCCAGTGCATACCTACAAGTCACATCCTCATACCTGTGTAGATGCTCCAACATACACAATATACACCTGCATATATGCACATATTTACAAGCATACATATGTGTACACATGCACACATACTCTCACACCTGCCAACCACTGGGGTACTTTTTTCCACTACTATTTACTAGAGAAGGCACAACGCAGTGAAGTTATCAGCCAAGCCTCTGTCGCCCTCTTGTGGCCACTCTGGTCCCTGCAAGCAGAAAGCCTACACCACACTGAGTCCAGCCAGTATCAGCTCTGGGCAGGCTGGTTCATTTGCACATGTGCCTTGCACACACTGCTGTTCTCACCTTCACACCTGGCCATAGCTCAATGCACAAAGCAGACAGGAGAGATGATCAAGAGGGACCCAGTAGGGTCTGCTGCACCATGGGTTCAAGGGACACTGCTGACAACCAGTGCCCTGTATAACAGCTGACTTGGTCTCTAACACTCATCTTATCACCTTCAAGACAGTCACAGGACACAGGGTGCCAGCAGTCCTGCAAAGCGGTCTAGAAAGGGCCATCTTTCCTTCTTTTAGAGGATGACCCCATGTCTCCAGTAGGATCAGAGAGCGGATATCAGAGCCACATAACGCACTCCAGGCTTACGTTTTCCCAGGGGACTCCTTCAGCCAGAAGATATCATCACTTGTGATTCCATATTCCAGGGCTCCTTTGATCTGTGGAGAAAAAGAGAATTCATGGGACCAGACAGAAACCCTCATTCTACAGAAACAGCTCAATCCCATGAGGGAAGCTTTTTTGTCTTTTATCCGTATCTTCAGGTTACAACCATCTGTGGGGATAGGAGATGACCCCATGCACACTCCCCAAGCATGCCACTATCCAGAAAGGCAGGAGTGGCAACTCCATCCTAGTCACATTGATGCAGATCCAAGACAGAGGCATGCAGACTGCAGTATAGACTGAAGGATCCCACAGACATGCAGACTGCAGTATAGACTGAAGGATCCTACAGGCATGCAGAGATTTCATGGTTCCTGGTTTTAAAGGAAACCTCTGCAGTCCTTAGCTGACACTAAGCTAATTAAGTAGACTCCAGTGGCCACACACGACAAAAAAGAAATGCTTCACAAAACCAGCTCCCCAGCAATGAGAAAATCCCAGTGGGTGTTACCATATAAGTTACTTGAAATACTCTGCTTTCACCAAAAGACCTGAGCTATATGAGAGGACAGAAACTGACTTTCAGATACAGCTGCAGGGAGCAGATACGGTGTGGCCTCTGGAAAACAAGCTGGTGGTCTCTCAAAAGGGTAAGTCAAATGATCATGTGATCTAACTTCCACTATTTTTGGTTTAGTTTAGTTTTGGTTTTTTGAGACAGGGTGTGTACCAGAGCCCTGGCTGTTCCAGAACTCGCTTTGTAGACCAGGTTGGCCTCAAACCCACAAAGATCCACCTGCCTCTGCCTCCAGAGTTTGGGGATCAAATGCTTGCACCACCAGGCCCAGCTCAGCTCTAACTTCCATTCTTAATAAAGACCCAAGGGAAGCAGTAACAAACTCCATAAAAACTTTTACAACAGGCGGTGGTGGCGCATGCCTTCAATTCCCAGCACTCAGGAGGCAGAGGCAGGCAGGTCTCTGTGAGTTTGAGGTCAGCCTAGTCTACAGAGTGAGTTCCAGGACAGGCTCCAAAGCTACAAAAAAAACCTGTTTCAAAAAGCCAAAACGAAACAAAAAAAACCCTTTACATGGATGTTCATAGCACATCATAGTTTGTAACAGCTAAAAAAAGGAAGCAGCTGAGATACTGACTGATGGACAGCTTGATGAACAAAAGGTGGCATTTGCACAAATGGAATATTATTCAGCCTTCAAAAGGAGGATCTGATACATCAGTGAGTAAACACTGAGCACATCATGCTGGTGAAATGAGCCACCAAAATGCACACACAGCATATCCTTGCTGAGGCACCTGAGTCTAGAAACCAGGGGAGCTGTGGCAAGGCATCAACTTGGAATTTTGAAAAGGATCTGGAGATGGAGGGGTATAGGAGAGAACAACTCTGAATGTACTAAAACCCATTGTGCCTCACAGAGAGAATTTTGGTAAGTGATTTCTATTTCAAACTTTTAGAGAGGGAGAAAGAGGAAGGTGAAGAATAAGACTGAAGTCCTGGAGGCCCTGGCATTTGAAGTTAAAGAGAAAAGCAATTGACAATGGGTGCTTGGAAGAAGGAACACAGGGTCAGGTGTAATATCAAACACTCGAGTCACAGGGACCAGGTATGATGTCACAACTACTCCGGAGGCTGACATGGAGGGTCACTGGAACCCAGATATTCAGATCTAGCCTGGACAACACAATTAGACACTAAGCGGGGGAAGAGGGAGGACACTGGGGAGAAGGGAGACAGGCCCCAGTTGGCTGCAGTGTGGAGTGACCCTGAGGCAGGGCGGGGGAGGGGGTGGAACCTGAAGATCCATTTCAGCAGGGTAGATTCTGAGAGGCCTGGTAATAGGACAGGAAAATCGCAGCAGAATGAGGGTAGAAGGCCCAGGTAAGGGCCACAGCAAGCCACTCACTTGTGTGGGGTACTTCGGTCGCCCTCCTGTAGCAATGACTATGTGGTCAGCTGAAAGCAGCGTCTGAGGATAAACAGAGAAACATGGGTCAAACAGTGCGTGTTCAGCTAACAACAGGCACGAATGCCTGCGGGTGGCTGGGCAGTGGTTCTTGCGGTCCCTACTGTGCAGTGGAGGTGCTCTGCCCATATCACTAAGTCTCACAGAACAGGGAACTCACAATGTCCCCTGAACAGGAGGGCCAGGCAGGAGGGGCAGTTAGGTGTTCCAGCTCCAAGCACTTCACAGTGCAGAAGGCCTCTGCAAACACTATGCCTCTTCAGAGCCCCACAAACACTGTAGGAAGGGAGCGATTCTCATCTTTGTCATCACCCCAAGCTGCAGGACAGCCAGCCATGACCTTTGAGCTACTTAACAAGGGGAATGTGTAGCTGAAGACTGATCTAACTCACGCTAGGGAAGCTAAGTAATGCCACTGAGCTGCATCCCCAGCTCTGTTTGAACTGTTTGTGTGTGTGTGTGTGTGTGTGTGTGTGTGTGTGTGTGTGTGTGTGCATGTATGTGTCTGTGTTTCTATGTGTGTGCAGGTATCTGGGTGCATGCATGTGTCTGTGTTTCTATGTGTGTGCATGTTTCTGTGTATGGACATGTGTCTATGTGTGTGCAGGTATCTGTGTGCATGCAAGTGTCTCTGTGTGTATGTATCTGTGTGCATGTGTCTGTGTGAGTGTGCATGTCTGTATGTGTGCATGTGTATGTACATGTGTCTGTGTATGCAGTAATCTGTGTGTGTGAAGAATGTGTCTGTGTGCTCAGGAATGCATGTGTTGCATGCACATGTGTCTGTGTGTGTAGAGATCTGTGTGCATGCATGTGTCTGTGTGTGTATGTTTCTGTGTGTTCATGCTTCTGTGTATATGCATGTGTGTGCATTGTGTGTATGTATCTGTGTGTGCATGTGTCTGTATGAGTGTGCATGCCTGTATGTGTGTGTGTACATGTGTCTGTGTATGCAATAATCTGTGTGTGTGAAGAATGTGTCTGTATGCTCAGGAATGCATGTCTTGCATGCACATGTGTCTGTGTGTGCATGTATGTGTGTCTGTATTGGGGAGACATGGTCCCACTATTCAGCTTAGGTCTGGTCTGGGACCCAAGATCCTGCTTCTGCCTCCCTAGTGCTGGGATCTCAGGCTGTGACCTGTGCACCAGCTCTGAAGAAGTGTGACCTCAAAGGCTGTTAACACCAGAACAACGCCCAGACCTACAAAGCTGGGATCTGGGGCCAGAGGAGCCATAAGAGGCAGGCCAATGGACACTTACTGTCTTCCCACCTTTATCAACACCGCAAACTGTGTGCTTGTCGACAAAGCTGGCTTTGACGTTAAAGTACTTGACTTTCCTGAAATATAAAAGTAAGATTTTATTTCATTTTTTGGGACAAGGTTCCATGTGTTTTAGGCTAGCTTCAAATTCACTCTCCTGGTTAGGGTTTCTATTGTTATGGAAAGACATGACCAAATGCAACTTGTGAAGGAAAGGTCTGCTTATCCGTTCCTCACTGCAGGAAGTCAGGGTAGGAACTCAGACAGGGCGTGACCCTAGAGGCAGGGCTGATACACTAGCTGTGGACGGTGCCAACTACTGGCTTGCGCTGATACACTAGCTGTGGATGGTGCCAACTACTGGCTTGCGCTGATACACTAGCTGTGGACGGTGCCGACTACTGGCTTGCGCTGATGCACTAGCTGTGGACGGTGCCGACTACTGGCTTGCGCTGATACACTAGCTGTGGACGGTGCCAACTACTGGCTTGCGCTGATGCACTAGCTGTGGACGGTGCCGACTACTGGCTTGCGCTGATTCACTAGCTGTGGACGGTGCTGACTACTGGCTTGCGCTGATGCACTAGCTGTGGACGGTGCTGACTACTGGCTTGCGCTGATGCACTAGCTGTGGACGGTGCTGACTACTGGCTTGCTCAGCTTGCTCTCTTTTCTTGCTTTTGGTTTTCGAGACTGGGTTTCTCTATGTGGTTCTGGAACTCACCATGTAGACCAGGCTGGCCTCACAGACACGCCTGCCTCTGCCTCCTGAGTGCTGGAACGAAAGGTGCCACCACACCCTGCCCTTCAGTGTGCATTTTTATAGAACCTAGGGTTACTAACTCTCAGATGGCACCACTTACAAAGGTCTGGGCCCTCCCTCATCCATCAGTAATTAAGAAAACATCCTACAGGCTTGCTTACAGCCTGATCTTATGGAGGCATTTTCTCAACTGAGGTTCCCTCCTTTCAGATGACTCTAGCTTATGTCAAGTTGACATAAAACCAGCCAGCACATGCACTATGTAGCCAAGGATGACTTGAACTCCTGATATTCCTGCCTCCACCTCCACAGTGCCAGTAAACTCAGGATTACAGGCATTACCACACCTGTCTCTAAGAGTCAGGCTCTTTAAACATTTCCTCCGCAGACTCAGCCTCTAGGGCTGGTCAGACAGACAGTGCCAATGTGGGCCCCTAGGAGGAAGACTCTGGAACTTGGCATCATATACATGAAAAATAAGTAAACACATGCAAAGATTTTTTAAAATAAAAGAACAAAAAGGAAACAAGAGCTCTGACCCAGGACCAGCTGCCTCTGGCCCTAGTGTGACAAGTATGAGTGGGAACCGCACTGGAAAACAAGAACCCCTTCCCTGTCACTCTGGTTCCCTGAGATATGGCGACCACAGATGCCAAGACAGCAACAGAGCCATGACTGACACCATCCTGAGAGCCCTAAACTGTGACTAGCAGGGGAGGGATCCAGGGAAGCTCCATGGGGAACTAAAGTGTCTACCATATGTGTATCACCTCTGTACCTAAAAGCACCAAGAGGCCAAGAGAGCAGGCACGGTGAGGCTGTGGCATGATGGGACGGGTATTTGGTGAGCAGAGTAACCTCCCGTCTGAAAGGCCCCATGGTAGCAGTAAGTATCAGGTGCCTCTCCTTCACCTTCTTCACTCACCCCGACAATCAAGGAACAGCCTTACAACACAAACACATGATACCCCTGCAGCACTGGAAAGATGGCTCGGTGGTTAGGAGCACTGGCTGCTCTTCCAGAGGAAAGGTTTGAGGCCCAGCACTCACATGGTGGCTCACAACCATCTGTAACTCCAGTTCCCAGGGTCCCAACACCTTTTCTGACCTCAGTAGGTAGCAAGCATACAAGTGATGCACAGATATACAGACAGGTGTGTGTGCGCATACACACGCAGAGAGAACTGTAAACACCCCCTGCCCCTCATGATCTGCTGCCACCTGACTTAGGGCTCACCAGGCTCTATCCTCCAAACTGTGGAGGACCGCAGTGGCTGTCTAAGGAACGCATGCTGCACAGGGCCCATCAGTCCAGTCGCATCCACAGGCTCAGGCCTGAGGCCTCTGTTGCCTGTTTCACCCTCTCCCCTGGCTCCAGCCATCCAGCTAGCCTGTCTCTTCATTGCTGTCATTTCCTCAGTTCCAGGCCTCTCAGGCATCCCGACCCTTCCCACAGCACTGACCTGTCTCCGCCCCACTGAGGCCCAAGGACCCTCACGTTATCACTGCCAGGGGCTGTGCTGCACAGTGAATACATTCACAGGTACAGAATGACTGCAAGGGCCAGGAGGGTGGTCCTCCCAGGGCAACATCACTGGGCCCCTGAGTCCTGGGGGTTTCAGTACCTGTCCTGAAGTTGGACTCGGTGACCCCAGTTCAAGGACTTCACATGGTTTTGCACAGCTTCTGCCATTTTCTTCCTGTCGACACACACAAAACCCCATGAGATCCACAGCAGCAGAGATGGCTGCAAAGTTCATTCAGGCAGTGAAAGAAAACTCAGGAATACTGAGAAATAGAAGTGTGGTTATTTTACTTTCTGTTATTTTTGGAGGGGGGGCAGAGTTTTGCTAAGTAGCTAAGGCTAGCTTCAAACTTAAGATCCTCGTGTATCAGCCTCCTGAGTCCTGGACTACAGGTACACACACTGCCACACCGAGTTTGCGAGTGTGTTTAAAGGACTGGAGCCTGACACTCCCCATCTGGTGTTTCCCTGCCTCTGACCAGGGTTTGGGGCTATAGAATCCTGGGCTCTCTCTACCTGGGAATTTAGCATGTTCTTCCTCCAGTGACCACCAAGAGTGTCTGAAGAGTGCCAACTACCTCAGCTGTCCCCGCCCCCCAAAGCCAGAACTAGAGTTGCTCCCTGGGATAAGTGGTAGACAGAAAATCTCCCTTTCAAGGGGACCCCACAGCAAGGGTTCCTCACCAGTTGTGCTGGATGGGCTGGGCTACCTCCCAGCCATAGTGGTGAGCATCTTTGACCATGCCCCCCAGCAGGGCAGCCTGATGCATCAGCTTCTTAGGTATGCAACCCACATTGACACAGGTGCCACCGAGACCCCATTTGGTACCTGGAATATCAGAAAAAGCATGTATGTGTATGTACATATGTGTAGCTGGAGGCTTTTGTGTGTCCTGCCCAGTCCCATAGTCACTTATAAAATAATCACTCAAGGATTTGATATTAATTATAATTGTCTAGCTGATGGCTCAGGTTTATTAGCTCTTTATTTAAATTAAACCATTTCTATTAAACAATGTATTGCCACATGGCCTGTGGCATACCAGTGATGCTCTGTCTTCTGACTCCTCCAGTGGCTGCTGGTGTCTCCCCCAACTCCGCCTTTTTCCCTTTATCTCTGTTTGGATTTTCTGCCTAGCTATAATCTGCCCTGCCATAGACCAAAGTAGTTTTATTCATCAACCAATAAAAGCAACACATATTCACAGCATGCAGAAGGATATCCTACATCACATATGTGTGCCCACGAGTGTGTGAGTGTGTACATGTGTGTGTACATGTCTATGTGTCTATGTATGTGTGCTTCAGGGGACACGCACGTGTGGTCTTTACACATATACATACTAGAGAGGTGTTCAGTCACAGAATCGCCTAGGCCCTGGTAGGAGTGGATTTGACTTCCCATGTAAGGGAATACAAGGCTTCTATTCCACGGGCTCAGAATGCCTTAAAGGGGTTGCTATTTTGTGACTTGAACTTGACCCAGGGAAGTCTTCCCACATGGATTTGTTCCCTATATATATATTCAGTCATTTAAAAAAATTTTTTTGAACATTTTATTTATTATTTTTGTAAATATGGGTGTTTTATGTACATGTTTGTGTGTAAACTACACGCGTACAGTGCTCATAGACACCATAAGAGGGTGTCAGATGCCCTGGGACTGGAGTTAGAGCTGGTTATTAGCCACCAGGTGGTACTGGGAACCAAACCTCAGTGCTCTGAAAGAACAGCCAGTGCTCTTGACCATGGATCCATTACTCCAATAGCACTCATCAGTCATTTTTAAAATAACAATGTGATAGAAATGTTTGCATGTTGAGCAGCACACTTAGGGAGACTGTGGGCAGTGGAGACTGAAAGACTTGGTGTAAGCTGAATGTGAGTTGTGTCCCTACCCTGTGCCCTTCACCTACCTTGGGGAGAGGGCTCCACATAGTCAGCCACTGCCACCTTCCTTCCCAGCTGAGCAGCTGAAATGACAGAGACATCTGCAGGTGAGCAGAGCAGGAAACTGGCATGGAGCTTCCCATGAGGCCCAGGAGGAGGCAGGGGTCCAGGCCAACACCTCAACACAGATGCCAAGGGTGAGCTGTTCCTTCTCCTTCTCCACACAGGTGCCCCCCAGCTTTGCACCTGCCCTTCCTGGTACCCACCCAGCTTGCTGCCTGCAGGCAGGAGCCCTCCAGCTTCTTTGTGGACTGCAGCCTTCACACCACCCACTGAGGCAGTGCTAGGACGCGTGCCCCCTGCCAGAGTCCCTGCTTCCACCTACTGTAGGCTTGGGTGTTCAGTGTAAGTCCAGTCCCCGCCCATGTCAGCCTTGCTAGCCACCGACAGAATGGCCATGACAGACAAGTAACGCATGTCAGCTAGAGAGGAGGTGGGGAACTGGAGCAGTATAAAGGGAGGGAAGTCCTGAGACACACTATATCATGAATGAACATAGATGACATCACAATCACAGTCAGTCAAAGAATCAAAAGATCACAGATGACCCCATTGATATCAAGTGTTAAGAACCCACTAAAACAGGAAGTAGATAGCGATTACAAGGGTCAGGGAGGAGAAGGGATGAAGGCATGGACAGGGCAATTGTGAATGAGTATGCAGGACCCAGGGGGAGAAAAAAAGTTCTAAACCTGTGGCTGCGGTTATGCAACCCTGTGAATACACAAACCCTGAATAACTCACTTTACAGGCATGGACAGTGAATATGTCACATAACTCAATTATACGGTGATTAAAAATGAGACTCTTGGGATAAATAAGGCAAAAGATGTGACTTGCCATGCTGGTTGATTTTTGTCACCTTGACACAAGCTAACGTCGTCTGGGTAGCAGAACCTCAACTGAGAAAATGCTTCCATCAGACTGGCCAGGCTGTGGGATATTTCATGATTAACGATTGTGGAGGATCCGACCCACTGGGGTCAAGCCACCCATAGCCAGGTGGCCCCAGGGTGTATAAAGAAGCAAACTGAACAAGCCTCGGGAGCAGCACTACTCTGCTTCAGGTCCTGCCTCCAGGTCCCTGCCCTGAGCTTTCTTAACTACGGACTATAGTATACAAGTGTAAGCCAAATAAAAAACCCCTTTCTTGCCAATTTCCTCTTTTGTTTGTTTGTTTCTCAAGACAGGGTTTCTCTGCGTTTGCTTGAGGTTCTGATTCTTTACTACAGTGTTAGAATCTTGGTGCGCCCTTCTCATGTGCTGTAACTCAGTCTTCTCAATGTTCATTTTTATTCCACGGTTTTCACTGACTTCCACCACTCTACAAAGGCCTGCAGCTCATTTGGACTTTCAGCAAGTAGTGCTATATCATTGGTGAAACACAGGTCTATCTGGGAGGAAACCTCATTTCAAAGGAGGGAACTATTTCAGAAATCAAGAAGCAGATAGGGATAGCCAGGGTTGCATTCCAGGCAGTAGGAAAGGTTTGGTCAGCAAGAGACATAACGACAACAACAAAGTTACAAATTACAGGCATATGAGACACTTGTCTTGAGCTGCCTTCTTTACAGCTCTGAAACCTGGACAATGAAACGCTCCTCAGAACAGCAGCTGAATGTGTTTGAGATGGCATGTCTCGAGAGGATTCTAGGCGTCACACGAAGATATAGTCTGTGTGACAATGGCATTAAGAAACATCTCCATCTACAGAAGGAAGTAAACTACAGGATACTGATGTGGGATTCCCCTCTGTATGCTATGAATATGTTCTATTACCAATGGTTAATGAAGAAGCTGTTTCGGCCAATGGCTTAGCAGAGTAAAGATAGATGGGAAATCCGAACAAAGATATATGGAAAGTAGGTGGAGTCAAGGAGATGCCACATAGCTGCTGGAGGAGGCAAACGCCATGTGGCAGTTCAAGAAGCAAGAGCTAACAAACCACGAGCTTCGTAGAAAATATAAATTAGTAAAAATGGGTTAATTTAAGATGTAAGAGCTAGCTAGAAATACACCTGAGTCATTGCTCAAACAGTGTTGTAATTAATATAGTTTCTGTGTGATTATTTGGGTCTGGGCAGCCGGGAAATGAATAAGCAGTCTCTGTTTGGCCATGTTATGAGAATGAATGATGGTATATGCAAAGATAGCACTGCTTGGAGGAGGACATGGGATAAAGCAAAGAGGAAAGCCCAAAAAACGCTGATGGATGGCATAAAGGAAAACTGTGGAACCCTGGGTATGACAATAACACAAGCATCTAGGACTGCCCAGGAAAGGAACAACTGGAGAACCGCCATAAATGGGTTGCCTATGCATGCATAAGCATTGCCGGGGCATAAATGATGGTGGTGGTGATGATGATGATGATAGTGGTGGTGGTGATGTTTCTCTGTGTAGCCTGGCTGTTCGGGAACTCACTCTGTAGACCAGGCTGGCTTTGAACTCAGAGACTTCCCTGCCTTGGCTTCTCGAGTGCTGGGATTAGAGGTGTGTGACACCACTTCTGGCTCCCAAGTATCTTTTGATCAGAATGTTTTATCATAGCAATAGAAAGCAAACTAGAAACAGAAACAAGTATCAAGATTGTGAGCTACTGCTGTGAAAACCTGACCATGTATGTTGTTTTGGGGGGGGGGAGTTATGGGAATGTTTGAAACTTCAAACTGGAAAGTCACTGAGTGTCAAATGAGAGCTTAAATGGCTGTCCTGTGGGGCCTTGGAAGATAAGAGTGTGAGGAGAAATGCAGACAGTGGAGGCCTGTCTTATAATGCTTCAGAAGGAAGTTTGAGAGTCCCTCAAAGACTGTCAGGTTGTTAATGTGATATATCTGAACTGACTCCATGGCTTCGATCAGCTGGAGATGAAGAATCAGATGTGACTAAGAAGAGACCAGCACTGCTGAAGTGAAACCTTTGCTTTACTAGGACGGTCGACACTGGTCCACTGGAGCTGAGAAATCGGCTAAGACACCAGCAAAAATCTTCCAGAAGTGTTTCCTATGGATCAGCATTCAGAAACTGTGGTCCAAAGGGGCCAAGGCTCCATCTCAAGCTGGCAGCCAAACTTGGCAATGTATAAGAGTATGCCACATAGTATGGGGGACTGAAGGAGTCATGGAGAGAAGTTAAAGTGTGGCACCACGTGGCAGAGTCAGTCTCTTAAGGGAGGGATATAATGAGGCCACTGGTGAGGGCAAAGCCTCAGTTGTCGTGAATACCTTAGCAAACTGGAGATGCCATGACCACGGGATGACCACCAAGGACAGCAGCAGGGATGGAGTGGAGCTGACCTAAGACTACAAGAAGACCTATGGGTGCTGTGGAGGGTAGAGCTGCCCTCTAGAGTGAGCCCAGACCTTGAACAAAGAACTACAGAATTTGATTTACTCTGCTGGATGTTGGTTCTGCTTTGATCTAATTGTAACTGTGCCCAGGTTCTTTCCTCTTGGAATAATAAATATATAATTTTTTTTACAGGAGCCCACAGTTGAGAGACTTTGAACTTTTAAAGAGATATTGAAGTTTTAAAGAGACCTTGGACTTTTAAAGTATTGACATTTTTAAAGACCACAGAGCTTTTAAAGTTGTGTTTATTTTTATTGTGATACTAACATGAGATTATGGAAATAACAGGAAAGTTTATGGTTTAATATCTTTGTGTGTCAGAATGACAAGGGGTGCTGGTTGGTTTTGTCAGCTAGAGTCATCTGGGAAGAGGAAATCTCAACTGAGAAGTGCCTCCATCAGACTGGCCTATAGGCAAGTCTGTGAGGCATTTTTTGATTAGTAGTTGATGTAGAAGGATCCACCCCACTGTGGGCAGTACCGTCCTTAGCTAGATGGTCTGTGTATAAGAAATGTAGCCAAGCAAACCAGGGGGAGCCAGTAAGTAGCATTCCTCAATGGCCTCTGCACTAGCTGCAGCCTCCAGGAGTTCCCTCGGTGATGGACTATGATGTACAAGCCAAATAAATCTTTCCCCCCCCAAATGGCTTTCGGTTAGAGTTCCACACAGCAGTAGGAAACAAACCAGAAGACTCACACACTCAAAACTGTAAGGCAGGCAATGAGGGCACACCTGTAACCCCAGCACTTCAGAAGCATAGGCAGAAGGATTCAGAATCTGAGGTCAGCCTGGGCTACAAAATGGGACTCTGTCTCAAAAAATTACTTACTTTTAATTTTTACTTATTTATTTGGTTTTCTGAGACAAAGTCTCTCCATTATGTTTCTCTGGCTACCCTGAAACTCACTATGTAGACTAGGCTGGTCTCTAATTCACAGAGATCAAACTGCCCCTACTTCCTAAATTCTGGGATTAAAGGAATACACCACCACACCCAGCAAAAATGTTTTAATTGATTTAGTGAGTGTGTGTGTGTGTGTGTGTGTGTGTGTATGCAAGTGCAGCACATGCACGCAGATTCCCATGGATACCAGAAGACTTTGGGTCCCTTGTAACTGGAGTTACAGGCAGTTGTGAGCCTATTAACATAGCTGCTGGGAACCAAACCCAGGTCCTCTGCCATAGCAAGTGCAGTTGGGAAGTTGAGGATCAGGAGTTCAAGGCCAGATTCACTATATAGTAAGTTCCAGTCCATCCAGGGCCACATTGCGTCTCACGCAAAACAAAGCAAGGGGAAAGGAAGCTGGGAATAGCAATGGGCTGAACTGTATCCTCCCTGCTAAAATTCTTATGTCAGTCACAAACCTCAGTACCAAGGAGTATGACTGTTTGGAGAAATTGCCATGGTCTGTGGGAGCTGGACATAGTAATAGCCTGAATTGTGCTGTTGGGGAATATTATTTTCAGGTGTATGACTTTTGTTTATGCTGCATTTGCTTAACTCAAACTGTTACTGTGCCTCTCTAAAGCACCTGATGGTCCTTAGCGAAGCAGGAGCAAGGATAGGCGAGGCTGACAGGCAGAGAGTGTAATAAACAGAAGGAGACCTGAGAACAAAGAAAAAGAAGAGCAACAAGAGAACAAGGAGAGGAGGACATGAGGGCCAACCACCCAGCTACACAACAAGCCACAAAGAAAGAAGTAAAGAAAGGTATACAGAAATAGAGAAAGATAAGAGCTCAGAGGTGAAAGGTAGTCTGGTTAATTTAGGTTAAGAAAAGCCGACAAGAAGGAAACCAACTCAGCACTCGGGAGGCAGAGGCAGGCGGATCTCTGTGTGTTCGAGGCCAGCCTGGTCTACAAGAGCAAGTTCCAGGACAGGAACCAAAAGCTACGGTGAAACCCTGTCTCAAAAAAAAAAAAAAAAAAAAAAAAAAAGGAAACCAACCACACTAAGGCTGGGCATTCATAACTAAGAATAAGCCTCTGTGTGTGGTTTATTTGGGAGCTGGGTGGTGGGCCAGTCAGAAGTCAAAAGAGTAAAACATCACACAACACTGTCACTACCCTCACACACCCAGATCCACGTGAGAGTCTGAGCCTTCAGTACCAAGGACTATGACTATATTCAGAGATAAAGTTAAACAAGGTCACAGGGTGGTCCCTTGTCCAAATGATTAGTGTTCTGTAAGGAGAGATTAGGGTGCAGATACAGGGGATCAATGCGAAAATATGAGAAGACCCGATCTATCAGCCAAGGACAGAAGCCAGTTGGAGCCAGCCCTGCTGACGCTTTGGTCTTAGACTGCTGGCACCTGGAACTGTGAGTACAAGGCTGTAGTTATGCAGCCCACACAGACTGCACAGAGGCATCAGGGACAGTCACCATCCTTGTCATGGTACAGGGTTCACAGATACACCCACCTGTCAGACTGCTCACTTGATTCTTATTGATTTAATTATTTACTTTGAAACAGGGTCTCACTGTTACCCAGGCTGATCTCAAGCTCCTAGACTCAAATGATCCTCCTGCCTCAGCCTCTTGAATAGCTAGAATCACAGCTATTCATGACCAGGTCCAGCCTTAAGTTATCCACTTTAAATATGAACTGGTTTATTGTCTGTCAATTGTATTTCATTAAAGCGAGACTCCACCTCAGAAATAAAAACAAAAATATGGGGCTGGAGAGAGAGTGGCCAAGAGAGCAGACTGCTCCTGCAGAGGATCTGAGTTCAGTTTCTGACACTCATGTCAGAAAGCTCAACACTACTGGTAACTCCAGCTCCAGGGGATCTGGTAACCTCTTCTAGACTCTGTAAGAGGGGCTGGAGAGATGGCTCAACGGTTAAGAGCACTGATCTACCAGAGGTCCTGAGTTCAATTTCCAGCAACCACATGGTGGCTTACAATCATCTCTAATAGAATCTGGTGCCAACTTCTGGCCTGTAGGGACACATGCAGGCAGAACATTGTATACATAATAAATAAAAAAAGAATACACTCTAAAAAAAAATACACTCTGAAAGAACCTGCATTCATAATCACATATCCCTATATAGAGACATACACATTTAATTTAAAAAGAACTTAAAATAATAAATTTAAAAATAATAATTTTAAAATAATAAAAATAAATTTAAGACAAAAATGAGGACAGGACCATTCCACTCTGAGGAGAGACCAGACTCAGGATCTACGTGGACTCCGATTTAGAGGAGACATTGTTCCATAGCATTTGCTTCTGGATATATGGCCTATCTTCACAGTGCCCCAACACAGCAGACAGGACATAAATTATGAAATACATACCTTCCTTGGCACAAGCCAGGCCACCGGATCCCCCACCAATCACCAAGAGATCGAAGCTCTGCTGCCCTGCAGAGGAGAAACAGAAGGTAAGAAGGTGCCGGAGCCAGCCCGACCTTACTCTCTGAAGGGCCAGCAGCTCTGTACAGTTCGATGTGGTACAAAGATTATCAGGACGGGAACCCTATCCTGGGGCAGTTGGGGTGACCACACTGTCTGCACAAATCAGAAACCAATGTGTGGTTAGGCTAGCTGTCAGTATGTGGAGAGGCTGGTTGTCAGGGTATGCAACCATCTTCGCAGAGAATCTCCCTGACGCCCAAAAGGCGTCTCAGAACCTAAGACTTCACCCAGTGTCCTGAGCCAGGCAGAACAAAAACATTCTCATTCAATCTACAGGCCTGTCAGTGGTAAACGTGACTCTGCATTATAGCAACCAAGAATATCTACGTAGCCCCTCTCACACAGGAGTCAAGGGCCCATGCAGTCAAGAGTCTCAGAGTCACCCTCTGACCGCCATATATGAGCCAGGAGCATGTGTGCACCCACACCTATGAACACACTAAATAAATACATAAATCAAATGTAAAAATAATAGTTTTAAGAGGCCACATCTGTCTTTGTATCCATCCTAAGTAAGTAAACAAGGCTTTAGAGAACCCTGGGGTTCCCATACCCCTCAAGGTCACTCCCTGCACCCCACTACAGGCACACACAGCTGAAGGTATGAGGTGGCCCATGGTTTGCAGCCCCACAACTGAATCTACCCCAGGCTCACTTCTGAAAAAGCCTGAATGGTTACAAGTTATTTGATGGCTTGGTGTGATCCTAGAGAAAAAAGGAGATTAAGTTGTCACTCAGTCCTAGAGAGGACCAGCATGACAGGCAGGGCCAATTTGTCTCCTCTCTTGCTTTTGGGTGACAGGGGTGGGGGGATCCTATATCTTGACCCTGGAAAAGGCTCCTACCTTCCATTGCTGACACCTGTCCTTCTTGTTGCCAGAGCGGGGCTTCGATTGGGCCCTATGCTGTGCCCTCTGCCTGTTTGCTATCAAGCGACTGGTAACGCTGGCTTATCATGGACCACTTGCTTTCCCACTGTGCACACCCAGGAGCCTTCCCTCTGATAAACACTTGGAAGAAGCCCACAGTGGAAGTTCACAAGGGAAGGGTATGAGAAGCCTGCTGGGGGCAGGGGATGCTGTTCTACAGAGGACAGCCGAGGAGCAGATGTCACAGGACACCGCACCTAGGTGATGGCTTCCTGGAGGCAACCCTCATATGCTGGCCTTCACTCACTGTGGTTAGGCCACTCCCCCTGCCCAGGCCTCATCCCCAGGGCATGTCTTTGCTTCATCTATGCCTCCTAACCCACAGTGTTCTGGAACAGTGAGCAGAAAGCAGGGATCTAATGGACATTACAAGGTCCAAATGAAGAGCTCACTGCTCTGATAAAGCAACAAGGTTCCCTTAGATGGGCTGGCCACAAAGAGGAGTCACCTCCGGTGGGGAGTCCTGTACAGCTGTTCAGAGGATGCCAACAGTCTTGTCTGGGTGACGTACCACACCCCCACCCCTAGCTGGAAAACATGGGTGTATTCTTGCTCCTAAAGAACAGACTCAAGGCTGGAGGGGACTCAAAAGTGGTGTGTGGAGTCATGTGACGAACGGCCTCTTCCCCAGACCCTCTAGGATCCTCACCCCAGCAAAGCTCTGAAGTCCAGGATCCTCAGGGCAGTGGTGCCTCCTGCCCACCTGAAAACAAATCCCAGACCCCAGGGGGCTCCCAGGCTTGTGAGCACAAGGAAGCTCATCTACAGATTTTAAAACATTTTTCCTTAGATTCTAGTTATTTTTATTTTATGTGTATGAGTGTGTTTGCATGTATGTCTGTGTGCCAGAGGCCAGACAAAGGCACTGGATCTCCTGGGAATGGACAAATGGGTGCTAAAAATTGAACTTGGGTCCTCGGGAAGAACAGTCGGTGCTGAGCCATCTCTTTTATTGTCACTATGCAGGGTGGTGGTGTCCATGGCACAGACACACTGATTTTTTTTTTTACCCCCATAAAATTGTTGTCAATGTCCCCACCTTATATACACAGCAAAGAGCCAGAGCCCTCGGAGTTAGCAAAGCTACTGAAAGAGTAACCTTAGGTCCTTACGGTCTGTGCTCTAGGGTCCAACCTCACATGGTAGTGACTGCTTTCCAGGACCTTCCCAGGCTAGCCACTGCCTGCCCTCTCCCTGTAGGCCAAGGGCCAGCCATTGTCCCTTCCATGCCACTACCTCCCTGAAGAACCTGGCCTGTCCTTGCTCATGTCTCTCTTCACCCACAGTGGGCAGAATTGAGTTCTGTCATTCGAATCAAGGGAGCAGGACTAAGGATGGTCACCATGAGAATGCTTGGTGAAGACCACTCACGGCACTGCGGGACTGACCATACCGCTACAGGTGGGAAACTCTGGAACCTGGTCTGTCGGAGTAGCATGAACCATGTTGAGGGTACCCACTTCCACCGGGGCTGTGGGAAGTGGATTACTACCCTGATTTAGCACTAACTCTCCATGGAGCAAAGCAAACAAGCTGTTTCTCCTTTCTAAGGATACACGCAGATCTTAGCAAGCACTGGGGCTTGGTCCCACGGGCTCTCTAGCATCTTCTCATTTAACCCTTGTATGTGCAAATAGAAAGTACTTGCTAGGTAGGACATGAGGGTGCATGTAATCCCGATATTCAGAAGCTGAGGCGGGAAGAAGAGTTCAAGTCCAGCTTGGGCTGCATGACCTACCATGACTCAAACAAAACAAAACAAAACAAAAATACCCCAAACCAACAAAATATAAAACAACCAATCAATAACTGTAACTTGAGAGGAAACCAGAAGGCCAAAGTCTGTGGCAACTAACTAGGCAGCCTGAGGCCAGTTTGGGCTACATGCAGGTGGGTGTAGGGGCAAAACCAAAAATTACAGCAACAACAAAAGAGAACCTGCAACTACGGAGTTGTGGCCTTGACATCCCACTCAAGGCTACAATTAATCCTGGGGACAGGACCTCAGGCAAGGCAGCTCCTGCATTTTAGTTATCTGAGAAAGGAGCACCCCGGCAAAGCAGGTCCCCTCCTGCCCAGTACACTGGTCTTCTGATACCCGGTCCTGCGTGGGCACGCCCACGCGGACACATTGCAGCTGAGCCCCGCCACCGCGACCCCATGTGGACACTCGCACAGACACCCACTCCGCGTGCACCGCTCACGACCCCACCCTACCTCCCGCAGCATTCGCCGCGCCCCGTGTCCCGCGTGTCCAGGCCCGTGTCCGCGACCGGAAGCGCCCGACCGGCCCGCGGAGGGCCACCACCATCGCCGCCATGGTCTGGGGACCTCAGGCGGCCGGGGCTGCCCTTGGCGCTGCCTGAGCCGGTCTGGCGCCTCCCGCCAGACCCGTGCGCGGCGCGGCCTTGGCGAGGTGAGTACTGCGGCTGGGGCGCCTGCACCTCGCGGATCTCAGACCCGGGGATCGGATTCTGCACCCGCCGAACTGAGACTGGCCGAAGGGCGCTGACCTTGAGCGAGAGTTCTGGGTTCTGAGACCTGGGTCCTGGGTCTAGCCCAGGGGAACGTGCGCCGGGGCCGGCAATGGGGGCCCTCTTTGGGAAGGGTCTTATCTTGGCTGGAGGTCGCTGAAGCGAGGCGGGTCTCCACACTTCTTGTGGGGAGCTTGAAGATCAGTGCTGGCATGGGAGATATGCCGGGTGGGCCTATCCCTGGAGTTGGGCTTCACTTGGGTAGGGCCTGGCCCATCATGAGCCGGGCTCACTTAGTTCTTGGATCGCGATCAGAACCTTAGGGTATGAGGTACCGGGCCCGGGGGGGGGGGGGGCAGTGTAGTTGGAAGCTGTTGAGCAAACTCCACAGGTGTTCTTTGAGAGGCCTTAGGATGCCTCTGGGTCTCTCTGCAAGAGAATGGGCTCCATTTAAAGCTGAGGAGCACTACGGCAGGCTTCAGGGCAATGTGAGACAAAGAAGAAGTCTTCCAGCTAGGGAATTTGGGGTCCTTGTTGACCCTCCAAACCATAGGAGTACAGTGGGAGTTGTCACGAGTTAATTGTAGCCTCTTTTAGGAACTTGTGCTGGGGTAGGGCCTTGTCACAGGGACATTCATGGAGGAGCAGATTTTTGCCTAGGAACTGCTAACGGAAACTACTACCAGCTGAGTCATCCCCATTTGGGCAGAGGTGGCCCCAAGTGGATGTGGTTCCCCAAAGGGAACAAGAGGGTGCAGAATTCAACAAAGGGAGCAATTACAAAAATCAGGGAAGGGAAGAAAAGGGAAGGGTGCTCTATGCAAGCCCTTCATGGTTTTGCTGCTGGGTTTGTGGGACTTAATTCCCATTCTCCCTGAGAAGCTGAGGCTAGGGGCTCTGGCTTTAGCTGTGGGAAATTAGGTCAACCATCTTGAATTTTCTCACGCAGACACTTTGGGGTCTAAATTTGCGCTGGGGCTGCAGCCTAGAGCTCTCAGAGATGGTTAATGTTTAAGTCTTTTAAAGGAGTTTGGCCAAATATGGCTACGCCTTGTTCAAGGGGAGGACCCTTTCCCAGTGAAGAGAGACATCCTTCCTACTGAACAGAAGTCCATTTTCTAGTCGGGCGGTGCATGCCTTTAATCCCTGGGCTCTGGAGGCTGAGGTATCAAGGCCAACCTGGTCTACAGAGTAAGTTCCAGAACAATCAGGACTGTAGGACTGTTTCACAGAAAAACCCTGTCTCAAAAAACAAACAAACAAAAAGTCCATTTTCCTTTCCAGGACCTTTTGCCTCACGAGGACTAATTGTACTAGGACAAAGACATTTGCTAACTGGCAGGAGCAAGGGTTTTGTGAGGGCTGTTCTTGAAAAGAAAGATAAAGGTTGGTGTTTGCTACAAATTAGCTTTTGAGTCCAGTGGACATGTGTTGAACACGTTTTTAGATGCCAGGTGCCAGGTATCTTTGAAAGGATAGTTGAGGAGCAGTCGGAAGGGTTTCCCAGGTACCCTCTGAGTGTATGAGGTGAAGTTATTGACCACAGGCTTCAGGCGTGACCATTCCTGGAGCAGTGTCTGAACCTAGTAGAGAACTTCCCACTTGGCCCATGTACCGGTGGCTCCAGGCAGAGGCTTGTCCACAGAGTATTTCGTGTGTTGTCGACTCTAAAGTTTCTAGAAGGGTGTTGTCAGGCTTCAAACTTGTAGGTCCTGGTGGGACAGGGTAGCTGCGTTAAACATGGGTCCCACCAAGGACCCACACTGTCAGACTTTTGCACCAAATGAGAAGAAATTGGGACGGAGAAAAATTGAGAACAGTTTGGAGAGTTGTAGCCAGATATTAAAGCCAGATGTCATATGTGGATGTATTTATTCCCAGTTTTAAGGCAGAGTGTGGGGCCACACACCTGTGATCCCAGCACTCAGGAGGCAGAAACAGGAGGGCCATTATGAATTTGATTCCTGTTTGTGCTACTTAGTGATTTCTAGGCCAGCTTGGCTTACTTGTCGTTGAAAAAAGAGGGCATAATTTTCTTTTTGCACATGAAGCTGTAAGTGGTCTTGTGAAATACATTTTTATTCCTATTTCCTTGTTTTTATTTTATTTTTAAAACAATCTTATTTTATATACCAATCCCAGTTCCCTCTCTTCCCCCACTCCACCCACCTTCTCCCACCCCATTCCCTATCCACTCCTCAGAGAGGGCCAGGTCTCCCATGGGAGGTCAACAGAGTCTGTCACATCACTTGAATATGTTTTTAATTAATTGAGAGGGTGCTCACACAGTGAAACTTGAAGTTGCAAACATTCTGGCTCGAAGTAAGTGTGTTGTTTTTATTGCTGGCTTCTCTTTTTAAGCTGGCCTAAAACTTGCACCAGGATCCCTGCATTGGCTTCTCCTCTGTTGGATTACATTTGTGAGCCACCACACCTGGCTGGGGGGGAGGGGCGAGCGGCAAGCACCTGCTATGGTGAACATGTGGGGGTATGAGGACAACCACAATATCTTTTCCTACCTGCTTTGGTTGGGGCAGTGTCTTTTCTCTTGTTTGCTGCCACTTATGCCATCCTAACTGGCCCACCAGCTTCTGAGGGCCTCTCCCTTATCTCACAGCATCATGATTGTATGGTTTAAGTAAAACACTGCAGGTCCCTGCTTGGCTTCAGCAGGCAGTAGGTCCCGGGACCATGGCAGGCCTGAAGGCAGCCACTCCCAGGCAGGGCACCACGTGGCAACCTAGACGGGGTAGCCAGTCCCATGAGGAGCCACAGCCGCAGTGGGTAAGAGACAGACAGATAGGCACACCATGCTGAGTGAGGTTGAATATTTATTTAATAGGTTATGAAGGGAACGGGGAGAAGGGGAGAAGAGCAGAAAGAGAGGCAGAGAGTGAGAGAGAAACGGGGAGAAGCAGAAGCTGCCTCAGAGAGAGAAAAGAAAGAGGGAAAAGGGAAAAGAAGAGCAGGAAGGAAGGAAGACCTGCCTGTCTAGGACAGGGGGAGGGGTGGCTGGGTGGGGCTTGTCTTTTAAAGGGACAAGACAGATATTAACAGTGATTACAGAATGTATTGCCATGTTTGGCGTTAAGTGGTTCTAGGAATTGAAACTGAGTGGTCTTCCTGGCCTGGTTGTTTTAACACCATTCACGATGTCTTTAGGAAAACACTATTATTTCTGTAGGCAGTTTTGACTTTAAAAATTATATTGAAGTTTCTTGACTTACAGCCAAGAAGAAAACACAAACTAGATCCCAGGATAAGGAGCTTTTTTTTTCCTTTTCCCCTTAAGTTTTCCTGACTTGAGAAGAGAAGAACGAAGGGTAGGGAGTGTGGCTCAGATGGTAGAGCACTTGCCTGGCATGCATGAGGCCCTGGGTTCAGCCCCTAGCACTTCATAAAACTAGGCACGATGGGATATGTCTGTAAATCCAGCCCCCAAAAGTAAAGCAGGAGGATGGAAATTCAGTGTCACCCTCAGCTCCATAGCAGGTTTGAAGCTAGTCTGGGCTGCATGAACACCCCCCCCCCAATCAACAAAGCATATAAGAAAACAGAATGAAGCCCACTTCACAGGTAAATCATAAATCCCAAAGACAGTGAACAATATCAGAATCTGAAATCTAGTCATGTGGAATGTGCTTGAACTTACAGCATTTGAGGGTAGAGGCGGAAGGCTCAGGAATTCACGACCAGTCTTGGCTATGTAGCACGGCCAAGCCCAACCTGGGGCACGGAGACCCTGTCTTTTTTTTTTTTTTTTTTTAATTATGTATACAATATTCTTTCTGCTTGTATGCCTGAAGGCCAGAAGAGGGCACCAGACCTCATTACAAATGGTTGTGAGCCACCATGTGGTTGCTGGGAATTGAACTCAGGACCTTTGGAAGAGCAGCCATCTCTCCAGCCCCGAGACCCTGTCTTAATAGGAGAGGAAGGAAAAAAAAATAGGGAAGAATCTGATAAACTGCACAGGTGTGTTATGCTTCTTTGTTGAAACACAAAATCACCTCCCTTTCTGATCCAAGATAAACAACATTTTGACTTATTGCACAGTACTAAGATTGTTCCCAGGGCTTTGGTGTATGTTAACCCTCTGTACCACCGAGCTATACCACAGCCCAAGATTATTCTTGTTTAAAAAAGAATTCTAAACCAGCCAGTGTGGTGCACACCTTTAATCCCAGGATTTGGGAGGCTGAGGCAGGTGGATCTCTGAGTTCAAGGCCAGCCTGGTCTACTGAGCAAGTTCCTCTAGGACAGCCAGGGCTCTCAAAAAACAAAACAAAAAATCTAGGTTCTGGGGGGGGGGGGGGAATGGATAAGGGATTAAGAGCAAATGCTGCTCTTTTAGAGGACCTGAGTTTGTTTTCTCACATCAGGTGACTCATGACCATTTGTCACTCCAGCTCCAGGAATCAAAACCCTCTTCTCTCTGGCTACACACACAAGCACATGAATAAAAAGGAATTGTAGCTGGGAATACTTTTTAATTCTAGTACTCAAGAAGCAGAGGCAGTCAAATTTCTTAGTTCAAGGCAGGCCCAGGAACCTCCGGATACTTTGATGACCTCAGTAAGAACAAGGTACACCCAAATTTATGGGCATCACATCAAGGTCTGACAGCAGATTCTGGGATCCTTCTGAGCCTTCAGAGGCTTTTTAAAAGTTTAAAATTCCTTATGGATCTCTGAGGCCAATTACTATTCTCATTGCCCTGGTATGAATAAGCTGGGCAATTCTAGCAAAATCAGAATGATTTTCTTTTTATATATATTTACTTGTAATTTTGGTTTTTCAAAACCGTTTCTCTGTGTAGAACTCCCTGGAACTCCCTCTGTGGACCAAACTGACCTTGAACTCAGAGACAAACCTCTCTCCAAAGAGCTGGGATCAAAGGTGTGCCCACAGGCCTCTTGGTTTGAAGCGTGCTTGTTTGTTTTAAGGCACAACATGAAACTGTTTTGTTTTGAGACAGTCTCTCCATAAAGTCCTCTGATGCTCCCTGATTCTGGGTAATCATTGTCCAATGGGACACTCCTGTCAACAAAGGCTGCCTGAAGTTTCTACTTGTGTCCTGCTGTGGGAGAATATAGATCTTAATTGCAGCTATGCAAGTAGCTTTTAACCATGAAAGGAAATACTTGATAAGTTTTGATATTTGGAGGGATCAGACAGTGAAGAAGAGATAACTGTTTCAATATAGTTTAACAAAGTAAAATTTACTGAATAGCTGTGAGTCATGGGTTAGCTAAAGAGAAACCCGCTGCTTTTTATAACCAGCAAATAAAAAAT